AGAAAATCACCATTGTAAACCCGAATTTATCTCTTTTTATACATCTGTTTACATCAACCCAGTCACACCGAAACAACACAACCTTTCGTTTTCCATAATAATCTAACTCAATAATGTCCGTAAGATTTCCATAATAATCGACCTCTCCCTCTAGCGGATTATTATCCCTTACAGTAGCATAACTTGTAGTTGACGAAGTAACTACGACTTCATAATTTTGTGTCCTTCTTAATCTTTCACGAGATTTCGTGTGGAACATGAACCCATTAATGAGGAAGGCATTATATCTTTTAACTATTCTATTCGGACCTTGAGAAAGCCATTTAACTTCTTCAATAACTTATCTCCCACTCCAAACCTATTACAAATGAATGGTGAATTAATTTTCATTGACGTATATAATTTATAAGTGTTCCGTAAAATTTAGTTTCTTACCGTCTGGCCTAACCATTCATGAAAAGTTTCTGTGAATAACTTATGTAGCTCTCGCTGATTTAATCTTCGGGAGCATGCTCGAGATCTCAATACTTCTTTAAACTCACTATAAAGAATATTATGTCGTTAAAAATTGATAAATATAAAAGATAAAGAGATTTCATTAGGATTGGGTCTGAAAGACTTACGTGCGAAAGGGATCTATTGAATCGTGATGGAAAAGAACATATCGGTGTGCTTGTACCCAAGACGTGTCATCTAAGTGTGCAATTTCAACTTTCCCTAATGATTGACCATAACTTCCAAAGAAATAATGTTGAGGTAAGTCATCAGTACTTAACACATCATTTCGATTTGGTCTATTCCATCTTGTTTCAACATCTTCCAAATATCTAGAGCAAAATGTCATACATTCCTCTGCCAAATACCCTTCAGCAATTGATCATTCCGGATAACGCTTATTATGACAATAAGACTTCAAATTGCCCAAAAACCTATACATAAAACAACATACTACGTAAATACATTTGAGTGAGAGGTATAATCAGTAGTAATTTGAAACGTGTAATTCAAATAACACCTCTCTATAGGGTACATCCATCGATAGAAAACTGGACCACCAACTCTTGCTTCGTGAGGAAGATGAATTAGCAGATGCACCATAATTGTGAAGAATGAAGGTGGAAATATCTTCTCCAAGTTGCATAAAGTCAAGGCGACTCGATCTTGTAGTTTATCAAGTTCTTCAACCATTAGAAATTTCCCACAGATGGCTTTCATTATATTAGAAAGTTCAATGATACAAGACGTCACCTTATTTGACATGCAACTGCGAACAACTACTGGTAGTAAATCTTGCATTAATATGTGATAATCATGTGACTTTAAACCATAAAGTATTCGATCTTTAACACTGACACATAGAGAAATATTTGATGCATACCCATCTGGGACTTTTATATCCTTCAACACCGTGCAAAACACTTCTTTTTCTTTCTTCGAAAGAGAAAAAATAGAAGGCGGCAAGAAATTTCTTCCATTTGGACGTAATTGCGGATGCAGATCATGCCGAATTCCCATGTCCACTAAGTTAAGTCGACTCTTAAGATTATCTTTAGATTTTCTGCCATCATTCAGAATGGTCCCGATAATATTCTCACAAACATTCTTCTCAATATGCATTACATCAAGATTATGTCTCAAAATCTGCTTTTTCCAATAAGGTAACTCGAAAAATATACTCCTCTTTTTCCACAAGTCTACCTCGTTTGGATCAACCTCTTCATCAGACTCATCATCAGTTTGTTCGTCAACTTTAACCTCTTCATTGACTTGCTTTGCCTTTTTCTTTGATCGTGCACTACTTGGTTGATTCACCTTTCCATAAGTAAAATTGATATTTTTCAACATTCTAAATATTTGAGAGCCGATTGTTTGGTTAGGAGCATTTCAAAACTCTTCATCACCATCAAACATATTCTTTTGACTTCTAAATCTATGATTATCAGGTAACCACCAACGATGTCCCATACAAGAGAACTTCTTTCCATTAACCAACCACTTCGAACATGTTTCTACAGCATAACAAGGACAAGCGTAACGACCTTTGGTACTCCAACCTGATAAATTTGCATACGCAGGAAAATCATTAATTGTCCATAATAAAGTCGCGCGTAAATTAAAGTTCTCCTTCGTCAACACATCGTATGTTTCGACCCCTTCCCATAACTGTTTTAACTCTGCAATTAGCGGCTGCATGTAAATATCAATATCATTTCTGGGGCCTTTCTCGCCAGGGATTATCATGGATAAGATGAAAGATGATTGTTTCATGCAAATCTAGGGAGGAAAATTGTATGGAACAAGTACAACAGGCCAAGTACTATACGAAGTACTCATGATTTTGAATGGATTAAACCCATTAGTTGCAAGACCGAGCCTGACATTTCGAGGATCTCTCGCAAAACTTAGATACTTGTTGTCAAATGACTTCCAAGCTAAAGAATCCGCTGGATGCCATAATAATTCATCATCGGTTCTGCCATCATGATGCCACCTCATAGACTCAGCAATCTTGGAGGACATAAAAAATCTTTGTAGCCTAGGTATGAGAGGAAAATATCACAGAATCTTAATCGGTTTCTTTCTTGATCGTGCTTGAGCTTCATCCTCAGTAACATTTTCTGCCTCCCTAATCATCCATCGAGATTTTCCACATACATGGAAAGAGTCCTGATTTTTTTGATTACCCCAATACAACATACAATTATTCGGACAACTATGAATTTTGTCATATCCAAGACCCAAATCTTTTATCATTTTCTTCATATCTTTGCATGATTGAGAGATTTTTACAAAAGGAAACACTTCTCCTAGTAACTCCAACAATTGCGTAAAGGAGTTACCAGTCCACCCTCCCAGGCATTTTAAGTGGAAAAGACGAATGCAGAAAGAAAACTTTGAAAACTTTGATCCCTCATAAAGTTATTCATTCATTTCATTCAGCAACTTGTAAAACTTTGTCGCTTCTCCATTTGGCTCTTCAGCACTTCCAATTCTTCCCATCTCAATGAAATCATTAACATCATTCTGACAATAATTTTCTGTAACATAGGACTGATGAGTGTGCATATTAAATGCATCTCGTAACATCCCTTCCATGTCATCTTCTCTAAAAGTTGGATGGTGAGAAGGAGCAGAATAAGTCGAATAACTCGTATATGATACAAACTCTCCATGAAAAGATCCATTTTCTATACCCCCGAACAAATCCAAAAATAACTAGATGCTCGTACACAACTTCACGAATATGCTAGTTAATGTTAACACAGTTCTTACAAGGGCAAAGAATCATATTCTCTTGGTTTGCATTCAGGAAAGCTAAATTTAGAAATTTTTTGACTCCATTTTGATATTCGACGCTTACCCTTGAGAAATCCATCCAACTCTTATCCATTTCGTATTTCTGGAGTTTCAAATTCAAATGTTAATTGCTAATATTATAGATAAATTTAGAACCTAAACAGAAGCATTACATTGAACCTAAAACTCTCTGAGAATCAACCTTTCAAGAAAAAAAATAGTAGACAAGTGCAAACAAAGGGTCTACAAATGTAGTATTCACTGATTTGGAGCTTTAAAAATCCTGAATTCACAAACACAAATGATTATCTAACATCAGTACAGGACTAACATTAACAAATTGAAAATAAAACAAAGTTCTAAAAGCATACACATTCAAACAAGAAAAAGAATAAAGTCCAAATTCTCAAATGTTACTTCAAGGATTTTATGGTAACAAGCAAATAAGAGCTATGGATTTAGGCTAAGATCAAGTAATAGTATAAGAAGTTCTTCATCCAAATAAAATTTTTGTTATGTTATTTCGAGTACGGAAACATATTACACCACTAACTTTTCTTTACTAATTACTCTATCTAGACTTAATTTTTTTTCTTCACAAAAACAATATTCACTAAACATAAATATCAAGCATTTTATATCTAAACAAACTCATGTTTCATTCTTAAAGAGAGAAGATTGCCATTGTTTCCTGAAAAACATGTTCCTCACAATCGATTTAAATTTGAGTGTCTCAACTTAATTAGCACCTAGAGAGAGAATTCAAACCGATGAAAGTGTATAACAAAATATGCAAGAAAATATCGACATTCATGTTATGCAAAAAAGGGGAAAATGGCTTTTTTATTGCAGAAAATATCGACATTCATGTTCTACAAAAACTACAGAAGGACAAGGGCTTCTAGTTTATGTAAAACATTCAACATGAATAACAACTGACAATCAGTTTCAGGTGAATATGAAACAATAAGATATTCGTTACAAACCAACTTTATTATAAAGCATTTAAATTACCAAGTCAACTTTTTTTAACCAACGTACATGAAAGTTGAAACCCCAATACAAATGGTAATCTAATTTTTATTTTATTTTATTATTTGTATTTATCTGAAATTTTATTTGTATTTGTTATGTACAAAATTTTATGGTACTTAATATATATGTGTTCAACCTAAAAAATATGTATATAGGAAGCTTGAACATATTCTAAACTGAAGGAAAAGTATGAAAGCTGAAGGAAGGCAACTATTGATTCAAATTGACCCTTGAACCTTTGATTCAAGAAGGTTACTGTGGTTTGATGCTAGAAGCATTGATCTTGAAACATAATGTCATGCTAAAAACACATGGTTAACTAACTGGTTTTAAGTTCCCTTAAACTAGTTGTCTATGCTGATAAGTTAGGAGTGTATTTGGTCTTTTTTATATGGTAAAAAGGCATGGTTAACTAACTGGTTTTAAGTTCCCTTAAACTAGCTGTCCATACTCGACAAAGTTCAGTCCAAGAAGAGAATGGAAATTGCCTAAAAGGTTGGAAGATAGGAGCTTATGAACATTAAAACTATTCATTTTACTGTGAGATTTTTTCAAAATTGTTGGACTAACCAAACTTCGTTTATTATGGCATCAACAATCAAATGGCAATGCAATGATTCAGTTGTTACTCAACAAGGAAATAAGATTTTTTTAAAAAAATAAACTAACCCCAGGCAAAGTCTTCTTACTGTGACAGTTGCAGCAACTCACCTTATCGGTCTCCTCTCTCGACGGGCATATAGCAAAGCAAAATCCTTAATCAACATACGGAAAAAAAAATAAACGAGAAAGTCTCAAAATCAGGGTTCTAAAAACCACAAATCTCACTCCAAACTAGACGAATCAATATAATCTAATGTTGATAATAATATGAAAAGAGACGAGTCTCTAGCCAACAAACATCTGGTAAAACAAGATAAAGACACCTCAATGAGAAGACAACCTGAATAATGGCCAGCAAAGCATGAAAACTAGCCCAATGCTTATATGCACAAGCTTCCAATTCAGTTTCTGAACAGGAAAGAAAAAGGTTATATTAATGACCATCTTTTACTAATAATGTACAAGCCAGAAGGAAGAATGACAAGCTTTTGTGATAGATCTTTTTAATGAAGCTCAGTTGTTCTGTCCTTACATGCCAAGTTAGATGGCTAATTCCCAGCTTGTTTTCATGAACTTTTCTTAGCTATCACATCATATTTTTTTAATGTGATCTTAAATGCATTCGTCTCACCATGCAGTATGCTTCTGTTTTTTCAATATCAAGCTAAGAAAACAGGAACAGAAAACAAACAATATTCTTCATGGATGAACTTTTTCGCTTGATGTGTTGAGGGTGACAGATAGAGAAAGTTGAAACTTCTGGTCATCCATGAAGAATATATCATGGAATACAATACAACAGACATATCGTAATAATTTTCAAAATTACTGCAACATCACAACCGCATCTATAATTTATAAATATAATTATTTAAAAAAAACAAGTCACGTTGTAATACTTGCAACACCTACAATCGTTACATTCCTAACCGCGACCACAACTATCAATCTATCCTTTAATCCATCTTTGCTTGTAGTTGACACTAGTCTATTTTTAATTGAAATAGTATCAAGCTTATATGTGTGACAATTATCCACAAAGTAAAACTGCACTTTTAGTGTCTGTAATTTGACAAATTCCATCAAGTATAAGGACTGACTGTATAATTTCACCTGGCTAGAGTCATATTGGCAGAAAATTGGCCTACAATAATGAGAAAAGGGCTGAGTGGGGGGCATTTTCGACAACATTGTGCTACTAGTACTACTGATTAGTATTACTTTGTGCGGATTCCATACCTGAACTACTTCTGATCAACCAATAATTTTGCATATAAAAAAAGGGTATATAACAATGCTAATCATTGTTTATCTCTTCAAGACAATGATTTAATTTGTGTTTTTTAAGATAAAACAAAGATTCAAGGAAAATGAATTACAAAACATGCTTTGGGTGATATCAGTTCTCAAATCTTTTAGACAAGATAGAATATTGCAAGGAAATTGCATTAAACACTTCCATGTTGGATTTGCAGGAAAAAAAGAAAGAACCACTTCTGTTTATTTTCATCATACTGTAACTTGGATCAAAATTAGAAATCGATGATAGACAAACTTTTTTACCTCCATTTTGGTTTTCAGTAAAAGCCTACCCTTATCTTCTATACCCAATAAGGCAGTAACATACATTAACTATCCAAAAGCAAATACAGTAACATATATTAAATCAGGATTCTAAAGCTTTTCCAGAAGAGTCGGCAATTAAGACTTTGATAGTCAAAAAAATATAAATTCCATTCGAGTCAAATGAAAGCTTGTAAAAATCATTAATTTAGCTTTACACAAACCTAAAGATGTTCGTATAACCCTAAACCAGATTTCTAATCAGACTTTATCAAAGGGGGAATAGGTAAAGCTGATCAAATTATACATATTAAAAGAGCAAAGAAATCAACCAAGATTTAAAACCCTAGGATAAAACATTAAAAATTGTAAAACGCGACCATAATATTTAAAAAATGCAAACAACTTCCAAAAGTAAATACAATCAAAATTGGAAAAAAAATAATCAGATTGAATGAAAGATAAAGATCAAGAGTAAAGATGGGAAGGGAAATCGGAATCAGGCATACCTTGATCCGACACCGTGGATTTGAATGTTTTGAAGACGAAACAAAGGGAAGAGAGTTTTGGGAGAGGGGAGATCAAAAAATGGGGGGATAAAGGGAGAAAGGAAGGAACCAGAAGATTGTGGAAGGAGTGAGAGAGAGTGCGCTAGCGTAGGAAAGTCGAAGTCTCAATTTCCCTCTTGCTTCAGTTGCTTCTGGTGGTGTACAAATAAGAATTTTAGATTTACCCTTCTTTTATTTTCTTATTTAGTGGTTCTTTTAAAGTTGCAATTATGTTGCGGCATTTGTTAAAATAAACGCCACTAAATATTATATCTATTGCGGCGTTTTTCTATAAACGCAGCTAAAGTACTACTCTATTGCAATATTTTTTGAAAAATGTCACTATAGATGAACCCTATTACGACATTTGTATAAAAACACCGCTAAAGTACTACTCTATTGCGACGTTTGTTAAAAAACGCCACTATAGATGAACCCTATTACGACATTTGTATAAAAAAACGTTGCAAATGACTACTCTATTGCGGCATTTGTTGAAAAACGCCACTATAGATGAACTCTATTACAGCATTTATTTAAAAACGCCGCTAAAGTACTACTCTATTATGGCGTTTGTTGAAAAATACCACTATAGATGAACATTATAGTGGCGTTTGTTTAAAAACACCACTATAGATGAGCCCTATTACGGCGTTTGTGTATAAACGCCACTAATTGTACCATTTTGTGGCGTTTAGAATGGAAACGCCGCTATATGTTTCAAGTTAGTGACGTTTACTCTCAAAACACTGCTAAAAAGGCCGCTGTAGAACATTTTTGCTGTAGTGAATCTTTGGGTAAGCATATTTGATTTAGGTCATCATAGATTTTTAAATACTTAGGTTTAATTTGATTCGAAACAAAATCAAGTAAAATTTATATAATTTGATTCTAACATGAACTTAGGTTTAATTGTTATTCTTATAGGTCTCGAGTTCGAACACTAACGATTGCGTGATATTTCAACATTCATTGTCAAATGGTTAATAGTCTTTAAAATAGATAATATCAATTGTAATCATCGTAAATTAATAATAAAAAAGGTAATCATGTTATAAAAGGATAGTTCTAAAAATCTGAATCAATTATTTCTTAAAAAAGTAAATAGATTATAATGAAGGTTATGAAATATAATATTATATCCGATAAAAAGATTATTGAAATATAAGGTTATCGAACACATTTTTAGAGATAGTATATTGTTTTGTTTCACCCATTTAACCTAAATGTGAGATTTATTATATTTAATTAATCAGTGGAAATATAAGATTAATTAAGAATAAACTTTACCAAATTATCATTATAATATATTGAATAATATGTAAAAACATTATGTACATACAATATATACAATTAATATATATATATATATATATATTCTTGGCATGTCTGATATTACTAAGGTGACATTTGGTTCGTTGGAATGTTTCTGATGGAATTGGAATCTGTGATGGAATTGAAATCTGTTGGCAGGAAATTGAATTGGAATCTAATTCCATATTCTGTTTGGTTCGTAGACATGTCAGATGAATTTGATTTCAGTAATGTAAAATGACAAGATTGTCTTTCTTGTTTTTTTTGCTTAATTTTAGTTTGTTTTATAAATTACAGGTAGCAATATATTATAAAAATTAAAAAAATTAAAATTAAAATTTAATTTTACTGATTGATTATCATTTCAATAAATTATAAAAATCATGCTAATAAACATCATAAGTTAAAATCATCCCAATTAGGGATGGCCATGGGTCGGGTTTTTGGTCCACCCAACCTAACCCGAGAACAAGGGAACCTCCATCCGAGACCCAACCCAACCAAAATAAAGTTTCACCCGACCCGAAATAATAAAAAATTATTTTTATTCAATAAAAACATGTGACTTAATTGGAATATATATATAGGGGTATTATTGTAATTATTCCTAAATATATAGGGTAAAATTATATATTTTTTGGGTCGGGTCGGGTATTTTTCACCCTAAACCCGAACCCGACCCGACCCGAATATCACACTTAAAAGAAACCGACCTGACCCGACCAAAATAAAGTTTCACCCGACCTGACCCGAATATATGAATTAGAAATCCGACCCGACCCGACCCGAAATAATAAAAAAAATATTTTTATTCAATAAAAACAGTGACTTAATTGAAAAAAAATTATATATAGAGGGGTATTATTGTAATTATTCATAAATATATAAGGTAAAATTATATATATTTTCGGGTCGAGTATTTTTCACCCTAAACCCGAACTCGACCCGACCCGACCCGAAATAATAAAAATATATTTTTATTCAATATATGAATAAATTATCAAAAGATTGATGAGGGTAGTATGGTCAAATTTTAATTCCCTCCAACAAGGGAATTGAATTCCATCAGAGAATGGATGAAATTCACTTTCCCTCATTTGATGGAAAGTTGAAGTAATGAGAGATTCCAATTCCCTTAGAAAACTTAAACTAAACATGGGAAAGTGGTGGAATTGAATTCCAATTCACCCTAATTCCAAGGGATTCATGCCAACCAAACGTCACCTAAGTCTATATTGGAACAAACTAAATATTATCATTATTATGGAAATTTTGTTCTAATCAAATCAATGACATATCATAAATATTACTTTGTCCAACTTAAAAGGTTATACTCTTAATAAAATTTTTATTTATAATTTATTTTTATCATTTTTACGAGAGATTTGATGACCCACGTTAATTAGGAAGTAGGTCGTGAATATGTTGGCTGCCTAACGTTTTGAAGACAAATTTCACGAGTCAAAGCTAGAAAGGGCCATTACCTAATCATAATAATAATAATAATAATAATAATAATAATAATAATAATAATAATAATAATAATAATAATAATAATAATAATAATAATAATAATAATAATAATAATAATATAAAAAAGGGCCGTCAAAGTACAAACTATAATGAACAATTTATCTACCACAATGGATGCAAATTGATTGTAAATACCATATCAATTAATTTTAAATTTTAACCCGAGATGAAAAATATATTATAACTATGTAGTGTCTATTATGTTTAAAGTTATCGAAGATTAAATTTGAAAGTGCTATTACTAATTAGAGTGAAGTATATAAATAGTTCTTAAACTTTTAGGGCGCTTGTATTTTGGTCACACGACTTTTGAAACTTGCAATACAGTCATTAAACTTTTAATTCATTTTCAATAACGTCCCTGTCGTTACCTCCCATTTTTTGCCGATGTGGCAATTAACTCCCGTTAAACCCCCACTTCTTCCTCTTCCGTACCCTTTCACCCCACCTCCAGTCAGTGGTTGCTTACACCGCCATCACCATCGTCACCAGCGTCGCCTCCTCACAGCATCTCGACCCTCTTTTCATACTCATCATCCACAATTCATCCCAAATCATGAGAAGACTATTCGAACACCCATCCCCAATCTCTATAGTCAATCGTCGGTGACCATCACCACCGGTACTAGTAGGAGCACCGTCCTATTTCGAGCAAAATCCAACTAGCCACTTGCCGAGACTCACCTCCGTTTGCTATGGAGAGGGCCCCAAATCTCATCAAAAAACTCAATGCCCCTTTTATTTTCATCGATTTTCAGCCGATTGGGCCATCCGTTTGCCATACTGCCACCACCGTTGGAGTCCTCACACCATTCTAACCAAAACCTAATCGGTCGTGCCTCGTCGCCGCCATCCCTCCTTTTTCTGTTGTTGGTTAAAAATAGAAAAGAGGTGTTGGGGTCTTTTCACGATTTGGGAGAACCGGTGGACGATGAGTATGAACTAAAGGTTGGGGTGTGGTCGGGAGGTGACGTCAATGACGATGGTGATAGAGGTGTGAGCCACTGCTGACTGGAGGCGGGGTGAATGGTAATGAGAGAAGAAGAAGAAAGAGGGGGTTTAACTTGGGTTAAGTGTCACGTCAGCAAAAACTAATGAGAGGTAACGATATGGAGCTTACTGAAAATGAACTAAAAATTCTATGATTATATTACAAGTTTTAAAAGTTGAGCAACCATAATACAAATGCCCTAAAAGTTTGTGACTATTTATATACTTTACCCTACTAATTAACCAAGGATGATTAAGTTGTTTATGTTCTCCTTCTTAGTTAGTGAAATGTCGAATGAAAGGTAAAACATATATTATTTAAAATAGATATTAATTAAAGTATTTTTTTATCGAGAGCCGAAGAAAAGATTGATTGATGGAAATAGGAGAGGACTCAACTTCACTTTTTATAATCACTGCAAGTTGCTCTTGTCCCTGTCAAATGTATAAATTTCTCTCTTTTTTTTAGAAAAAAAAGAGTGAAACGAAATATCAAATTCCAATCCATAACCATTCATTACTCATCATCATGTCCATCAATGGAGGAGATTGATTGATATCCAGCTAAGGGAGGGGACCCACATGAGCTGACCAATTTCGTCTAAGTTGGGATCACACCATTTAATCTCATCATCATCCTAATCATTCACCTCATGATTTGCCACGTCTGCCCCTGCACAACCTGATACCTCATCGTTTAATTTATGGTTCACTCATTTTAACTGAATTCTTATACGAAAATATGTACAAAACTTTCAAAATCAATTATTTACGAGTATAAAGTACGTAGTATGAAGTATGAGAGGTAAGTGATAGTATAGAATGCATGTGCATGGATGGAACGTTCTGGTGCTACTTGGATAACAAGCTATCAGATCTGAGACTGAGGACTCCTGCGCTCTGACCACACTGTCCCCATTTGCTTCTGTCTCTTTATCTTTCTTACACACCCAAACCCCAAAGCACTGAGATTCTTCTCTTCAGTTCTTGTCCCCTTCTACCTCTTTCTGCATGCCTCTCCCTTCAATTCTAATTCCATGCATTTCATCATTTTTAATTATTTTAAATATTCACGTCTGATTTTATTTTACATTTTATAATTTCGATTATTATATTTGGCAGTGAAATGATTTATGGCTGGTCTCGTCTTTTATATATTTATACATGAAATAGTTACAGACAATATATTTTGCAAGTGTTTGATAGAATAAATAACCCCAACATCTGCAATTTAATATCTTAGATTGTAGACTTCAAAAAAAAAAAAAAAACTTAGATTGTACA